AAATTTAATATATGTACATGCGTAGGTCAATATCCTTTTAAGTACAACACAAATTGCCCGAGGAAGCGCCTACTCCCCCCCGTCCTCCGTGTCCCAATCTTCCTGCCATACGGACCCATCGTCCTCCTCGTCATACTGGCTCAAACTTTCCTCATATTCCGTTCCCTCAACATCTTCAACGATGTGGGCCCCTTCCAGGAAGGCCGGTGCCTGGGCGTAGGGAATGAACGATGGCACTCCGTATGCCTGCCCCTGGATGTGCAGGTGGGGAGAGGCTGGGACTGAGTATGCATCGGGGGTGGGGACATTGGCTGGGGCATTAGGCGAGGTGTGCCCAGGGGCGGCTGCATTCGCAGCATGCAACTGCCATTGAATCAACTCCAAATGAGCCTGTAGTTGGGTTGGGTCCACTCCATACAGGAGATGAGGGGTTCCCATACCGGGAGATGGACCATTACTGGAGTGTTGAGGGTGCGGTTCCAGGGCCGTCACTTGAGGGAGTTCAGTCCCTGCGATTGGTGACCGTGGGGACGGCAGAAACGGATCGCGTCGCAGACGATGCAAATTATGCTGCTCCCGCAGCAAGGCGTCAAGTCGAGCTTGTTCCATTTGAGCTAATCGAGAGCGCTGTAGATTCTGGTACCGTACAGCCCGGTACTGAGCGTCATTTACCAAGCTTGCAATCTCCTGTTGAGCAACCTGCAAAGCATTCTGCAGGGCTTGTCGCTCCCGTAGACGGAATGCTACAGCTATTTGATTGACCGGAGAGTACCAACTGCGCAAAGCAGGAAACGGTTCGAATGGAGGCATCTCCAACCCAGCGTTGGAGGATGTTGGCGCGGCCTGGGAAGTTCGGCGTTGTGCGCGAGCAGGATGAGGCAAACCACCAAGACAACGTCGTTTCGCGGGACTCATCTTATACACGATATCGTCACTATCAGCCCGAGAACGTTTGCGACCCAGCTTGTCCGGAACAGGTAAAGCATCTTTATTGCTGGAAGACCATGATTCCGTACGGTCGTCAACATTACTGCCCCTACGTCTTTTATTGGCTGCCATTAAAGCATCCAAACTTTCTTTCGCTCTCTTCAAATCGACGTAGCTCGCAAGGCTGACACTACTTGGTGTGCGTGATGCTGATGCTGAATGTGGTGGTGACGGCAACATTCTATTTTCGCGATGGAGAGAGCAAACTAGACTCTCACTGGATGCACGCCGCCTGCGAACGACACATTCGTCGGTCGGTGGCTCATTGAGAGGAGATTCGGGCGGAGGGGACAATTGGTTCGTTTTATTCCGGTCACTAGGTGCCACATGTGCTTGACTTTCACCGGCTGGTAAAGCAGGCACGCTGCTTGATTCATGTGCGGTCAAGGTCGGTTGGGCGTCTGAGAGATGTTGGGATGACTTTGAGTGATCCGCGGGTAATTCGACTGACGACGGTATGGGAGTGGGAGCGATGTTCAGGTTATTAGCGGAGGTGATCTTGTTCTCATTCTGCGGAGGAGTCAAAGTCCGTCTTTTCGCCCTTGGTATACACGTGTTGTTCTCATCCGCAGCAGGTGCAAGGCGGTTCACAGGTAAGGGCAAAGAGGGTAGGGAGGGTGGCGTGGCATCTGCACGAGGGGAAATCGGTACGGGAGTGACTGGCAACGGTGTGTCCGTCAAGGAGCTTGAGGTACAGTCATCGCGTTTGCGTTTGAGAACAGGGGACGGAGTAGGGACGGCAGGTGAATCCTCAGGTATCTTGGCATTCCTGTGATCACTGGATGATGACTGGCTCTTTCGGAGGACTGATATTGATGATATCCGCCGAGAGTGAGTTGGACCCATAGAAAATCCAGGCGGAACTGACAGCGCCCGGGGAACCCGGCATGCGTATAGCGATGACGATTCCTCTTGCTCCTGCTTGTGCCGGTTCAGCAATTCTGCCCGCACTTTCTTGATTGCCCATCTTCGCCGCGCGTCGCACTGGCCAAGTATATGAGCATCTGCTCCATGACTGCTGGGAATGGCCTCAATTCGGAAGCGAACGACGTTCAGTAGAATGTCGCCTACGATAGACAGCAATTGGCTAGCGAATTCGGCGTGGCTATCGATGGAGCTGGTCGCCATTTCCTTCAGATATGTGTAGTCAAATGGGGTGGATCGGCGAGCCCAAGAATTAAGTTCATCCCTGGACATGAGGCAAACAATGATGCAAGTCAACAGATTTGAATTGGCTATGATCCGATTCGTCACTTGGAACTCGTCCCAGTTCTCAGGCCAGTAGCCCTTCAAGGCTAACAATGTTCGCGCTCGATCATACATATCCTCGTCAATAGCAGTTGTTCCCTTGCCTTTTCTTGGAGGATCTGCCGCATCAGGTCCGCCTAAATGAAAGCGTATGGCGCGATTCACATGTACTGGAGCGATTGCAAAACTCGCAAACTTGCTGTATTCAGCAGTGTTGTAAATCTTCAGCATATCAGCTGCATTGGTGACATGGTGGAGCCCACTCAAGGAAACTCTCTGCGATGGATAAATATAGTGCTTGCTTTGGACGATCAAGATAATGTCGCGGACGATACTATATTCAGGTTCGTAGGGCTGACCTTCTTGCGGCGCATCTGATTCATCACTGAGGGATCGACGATGTTGTGGTGAGTGGGATGGACTTGCTTGCCAGGGTTGAAGCGTGAGATTAGCGCCATTGTCGGTAGAAGTGCTCGACCGTCGACGTCGAGGATTTGGTATGACTACTTCATCACGAACAGGTCGTACGATCGCAATACCCGGCCCAGAACTGACTGTGGGTTGCAAACATTCGAAAAGGGGTATTAGATAGATAGGGTCATGGGGCTTGGACATGTGTTCCCATGACCAATTGGGTAGAGTCATTCTTGCGCCGATTGATTGGAACTTTCCTTTGGCTGCATTTACATGATATCCCGTTCTGTAAACCATCCAAAGAGCTCGTTTGAAGAGATCAAAGTTCACGGCCCCTTGGGGTTCCGAGGCTGATGCGTTGGGGCTCTCAGCAGGTTCCGGGTATAGAATATCGAACTGGAAAGCATCCTGGCCGAGGAATAAGCGAGCGTCTTGAATCAAGGTCTGTATCAACTCAAACATGGGAACGAGCTCGTCGGAAGCACGGACTAGTCCTTCCAAGGAAGTGCCGCGAACCTCGCTTTTTTCGGTATCAGTCATTGCTGGTATAAACGTTCCATCAAGACGACGCGGGCACGGCGGCGCATGCGCATACGTGGGAAAGACGCGAAGGGATGCCAACCACGGCGCAAACGACGAGCGGGATGCCTTCCCGACGTGAAAGAGTAATCGGAGGAGGACTATTTGCATTGAGTTCAGCCCCCCCGGAACAAGAGGCTCTGGAACAGGTGATAGCATAGTTGAGGATCCTTTATTACTGCCCAGTGATGATCGACGTCGTTCGTGCATTATCTGCAACTCTTCAACGCGCTTGGGATCGGATCGTTCCCTCACGGTCTCAATCCAGGCATCGAATCCTTCCTCTTCCTCCCTTTCGGTACTCAAAGACGAAATAGTTGAATGCAAAGGTACTGATAGCAATGAAACCTCGGGATCAATCGCAGGTTTCTGCTGCTGCTCGATGGGTTGGACTAGCTGTCCATCAAACTCGCTACTAATTCCTCCGCAATTTTCATCGAGAAGTCGTAGCTGAGCTTCGTACTCATCTTTGTTCTGCTTGGGATCCAGCGCTCCCATCCAGCGTCGAGCAGGCCGCACGGTGATTTTAGGATGAATTTTGATGCTAACGGAATCGGCCCAGGTAAGATAGGCACGCTCAAGCGTGTCTTCAATGCTCATTTTTTGGGAGACATTCAACTTGCTGGAGTTTTGGACCTGCATCGCGGAAGAGCCTGCTTCAAATCAAAATTGGTGCTTCGTTCAAAAAAAGCGTTATGAGGATCTGTACCTGCGTGTATACCGAAAGTGGCGACGAACGAGTGTAGATGCGATGGATCTAGCAATTGGCTATTTGGGGGGATCGTGTTGGATCTTCGTTGGGGAAACAACCATCTCAGGGACAACTGACCTGGTCACGCCAGCGAGTAGGTGAAGATAGTGGGAGACTCCGGGTTTACAAGAAAGAAATAGGTTGATTTCTGTCTGAATCGATGTACTGGAGTACTCCAGGAGTGGCCTTTGTGAATGGTTCTTAATGCTAAAGACAACCATCAGCCATCATAGTGTTGGACCGTGATATCTCACGTAATAATCGGTCCACTTACCGGATAGAGGATGTATTCCAAGTGCACGAGAAATTCACATGTAGCAAGATGCGATGACTTGGGATATCGTGGGTAGAAGTCGTTCAAGTATGCAGAGGGATCAAGTGCTTTCACGACGAAAATCTACTGAATGGGGCGCGAAAGCACACTCGGGTATTTATCTAAAAACGGTTCACGCCCCCACCCCCCTCCTGCCCTTCTTTTCGAGCTTCTTCCACCACTGCACAGTAGCAGATATGGCCCAGGTGGTATTCTCCGAATCTCCGAGGAAAAGTCTAAAGAATTGGATCGCACGGTCTGTCCCAGCCAAAAAGCGCGCTCGCTGGCTTGGGGGTCATTTCATCATTCCGCACTTGGCCAAACACTGTACGCCAATCATATCTCCCAGTGTCTTACTTTTCGGCCAAACAAACCCTTGAAAGATCTTCCACAGATTTTTGTGGTGCCAGATCTGGAGAGGATCGTCGTCCTGCTGACTGCTGAGTATATTCCATGGCAGTCCATACAGGACTCAAAACTTTAATGGCAGGATGGGCCTGGGATGGGCTCTTTCGCTCAAGTGAACGAAACGAACCATGGCAGGATATTCTAATTGAAAGCAAATTTGATGAACCAACTCCGTATTATTCTCACCACATCAACTAGACAACCCTGATGTGGCAACTTCACATCGACTTGAATTATGACTAGAAACGAGCATCTACATAAAAAGTTTATAAGATTGCATCAAAGTGCGATTTCTATCAAGTCCGCGTGGTCTAGCGGTTATGACGTCTGCTTTACACGCAGAATATCGTCGGTTCAAATCCGACCGTGGACATCAAAATCTTTTTCTTTGTTTTTGGCCGCAAGGATGATGTATGTAGATTGCTTGGCTTGCTGGAGGGTACTGTACGTTCACTGAGGAGTTCCAAAAGCACAACGTCAATGTTTTTCTTTTCATTGCAGTCAAGCAGAATTTATTCAAATGGAAACGAGCACAGAAAGCTCACAAATAACTAAAAAAAAATACAATGCGCTCTCAATCGTAGCTGAGCTCCATCTCCCCGCTGGGGACTGGGTTATCTAAATCGTTGTAAGTACGTATTTGTCGTGGATCGCTGCGCCTATGAGTTCAGAATAAAATGAGTGATATTTCCCAAACATCAAGACGTATGCATAACTTACGAATTTCGTCGATCTGGTGGGGGTGGGGGTCCAAGCCGACTGGACATGGATCCGCGACCACCTCGTCGCCCAGATCCACTGTTTCGACCGCCGCCATTCATTCCACCCATCGTACCGCCCATCATTTGCTGCATCTGCGCCATCATCTGCATTTGCATTTGGAACGCAGCCGGATTCATCATTGGCATTCCCATCGGTCCACCCATCATGGGGAACCCGGGCATAATACCGTTACCGCCTGGTCCAACGCCAGGTCCGACGGCATTGCCAGGTTGACGACTGGGGTCGATCTTGGTTGGGTCGCGAATATAGTTGTTAAAGTATTCCACCTCAGGTTTGATTTCCGAGCCCACGGTCTGGTGCTTGACTTTGATATGCTTCTTGACGAAATCATCCCCTTTGAAGAGCTTGCTGCACTCCAGGCACCGGTATTTACCCTCTGTTTCCTTCTTCACATGCTTGGCAAGGAATTTGTCCAATTCGGCCTCGGATGATTTTCCACCCAATTTGACGACTTCAGGACCGTCGATAGGCTTTCGGATACGAAGATCGATGCGAGAATCCAACCGATCCGTCCACTCTTTGCGTGGCTCCTTATCTTCGAATCGTAGCTGACGACGTAAGTAAACGGCCGATCGGCGGGCAAAGTCTTCGGGGCTCGCACTTTCAATTCCACCATAGTAGTCATAGTTGTGAACCACGCGAAGGTAAAGGATGTGCAAATCTAGAGATTTCTTGACTTTTTCAGTATCTTTATCCGCATCTGCTGCCAATTTTGCCTCCAACGCAGGCAGAATGTGGGACTCGAGGCGCTTCTCTGCGGTTCCCACCCCACTTGGGGGTAGAATGCCACATTCTTCATCTAAAACATTTGCAAGCTTTTTGATCTGCTCCAAATCATGACGCAGGCGTTCTGGCCGATTCGTCTCAGCTGGTGCCACACGAGTACGGATTTCGACAATATGGTGAGGGGCAAGGTGGAAGACAAAGGTGTCAATAGTTTTGCGATCAAGCTCACTGATGGCGCTCTCCATGTCGGTTCCTTCTTCGAAGACAATCCAACCGAGACGGTGCATCATTTTTTCCGGCCTCGGGTCACTGAGAGCAAGATACTTGTATCGGGGAACTTTCTTAACCATTTCTACAATTTTGCTTCGCTTGATGGTAGGTGGAACAGTCTTGATGAAAAGCGCGTGTATTGGTTCCTCGTTGCCGCTGACAGTCTGTGTGGTTTCTTCCATTTTAGTCTCATCTTTAGGCTCCTGGGTCTCGTCCTTCTTCCCATCACTCTCTGTCGTCTCTTCGTTGGTACTGTTCGCTGGAGCATCATAGGACACATCATCATGCTTTCCCTCGTCCAAATCCACCACAAACTTTGCCAGTAACTCGTGGCGCCGCTTGTTTACTTCCTCCTTCAAGGTTCTGGAATACACCGGATGATACTTTTCTTTGAACCTACAGCGCGCGCAATGCTCAGAAATAACCCAAGGACTTTTGAACAAAAAGCAGATTCTTACCACTCATTGTTCTTTTCCGTATCGAAAAACTTTTGCAATTGCTTGGCAGAGAAATTCTCCTTATAGATTTCATAACGTCGATCAATCTCATCATTCGTCATGTGAGATGAACGTCCGTGCTTTTTGCGGTGATCTTGACGAGCCCATTCCGCAAAGCCCTCACGGTTTACGAGGAAGTCTAATTTCATAGGATCCGTCGGTCCTTTCCGGCCATCGTAGTGATCTCCTTGCGGTGGGAACGAAAATCCTGCTCCAAAATCAACTACGGGAAAGCCAGGAGGGTTGAAGCGTGGTGCAGGTCCGTCCCTGCCGTAATCAGGAACATACGAATCTGGTTCTCGCGAACGAGATCTTCGGCGCTTTCCACGGCGATCTGCGTTCAAGTCCAATTAGGGGAAACCGATGGGGGTACGCGCAGTTTCAGATTTACCAGGCTCTGGAGAACGGCTTTTACTCCGTGTCCTCTCACGTCTTTTCCGTGTAGTGTCGATTGTCCGTCCAAATTCATCTACTTCCATTCCGGGTCTTGCTGATGTATCATCATTCCGTTCCCGCTGAAATTTGTCGCGTGTAGATGGGCCACTGTACTCATCGGGAGATGCCATGTGTGCTGTTTCTACCGAGTCTTCTGCATCGGCAGAAACCATAAAGTATCCTGCAGACAGTGCAAAAGAATCAGCCAAAATTGATCTTTGGAGGAAATCTGCAATTTCAATGCCCGAGCGGGAGGAGCGGCCTACTGTCGTTCTCAGTCTTTGAACAAGGAAAACGAAGAACCTCGTTGAAAACGCAGCCGCTGAAGCGTATGCCCAACTTCCTATCGAAACCTCGTCCTTGCTTCCAAAGAAGCAGCAAAAACAAAAGCGCGACCCCTCCCAACCAAACCCCCACACTTACCTCTTGGATCTTTAACCAGCTACTTATGGAGTCACCGCAGCGTTCCCGTAAAACTCAGAATAGTTGTATTTTCGTAAGTGAAAGGGTCTCCTCGGCGAGGTTTCGGTATTGGGAATTGAGGGGACCGACACTTGGTTCGCACTCCCTGTTGCGTAGCGACTTGTGGCACAGACTCGCTTACGTAACACACAATCTCGGTTTTGGAACTTTTGACCATACTGCGAATTTTTGAAAAGCACCCAAGAACCCATTTGATACCATATAGAACATCAATAATATGGGAGGAGAAACCAAATTTCAACCGTACATCAAGCCTCGACGTCGCCTTCCTGGCGACAAAGGTCCGGAAGTCATTCCGGTTGCGCCCAAGGGCATGACGGTTGTGGCCCAATTCAAAAGTCCCGAAGGTGAACCATGTGGTCCTCAGCTTAACTTGCCAGCGAATGTGAACCCCGAACAACTCGCCTTACTCATTAACAACCTGCTAAACAATGTTTGTTCATATGGACAAGTTTCCTTTTTGAGTAAACAAAACTCATGCTTTGTTTATATTCCAGGAAGAACAATTACCTTATGCGTTCAAGGTCGATGATATTGAAGTCACGGACAACCTTTTCAAAGACGCCGTTCAAGGACTGAACAAATCTACGGAAGATGCTATCACGATCATTTACCAGCCTCAAGCAGTGTTTCGTGTACGATCTGTTACCCGGTGTAGTTCTTCGCTAACAGGTGCGTGCTATCTGATGGTGGATGCGTCTACAGTTCCATGCTAATTCTCGGTTGAATCAGGCCACACTGAAGCGATATTGTCGACCTGTTTCAGTCCGGATGGCAATCAGCTTGCCACCGGATCTGGGGACACTACCGTACGGGTTTGGGATTTAGCGACTGAAACCCCACAACATACTCTCAAGGGACATACCAACTGGGTTCAAATCGTGGCATGGTCTCCAGATTGTAAGATGCTAGTCTCGGGGGGAATGGACACCACTATCAGACTGTGGGACCCAAAGACTGGGAAGGCCCTTGGCGAAGCGCTCAAGTCTCACCGACAAGTGATTACCTCTATTGCCTGGGAACCTATGCACCTGAACAAGCAATGTAACCGCTTTGCGTCGGCGTCAAAAGATGGTACTGTTCGGATATGGGACGCCACCCTGCGCAAAAATCTCTTTACTTTGAGTGGTCACACTGCTCCGGTCATGGTTGTAAAATGGGGAGGTGATGGTCTGATCTACACTGGGTCGCGCGATAAGACGATCAAAGTGTGGGAATCAACCCAGGGCAAGCTCGTTCGGACGTTGGAGGGTCATGCCCACTGGGTCAACCATCTGGCGCTGTCAACGGATTTCATTTTGCGAACTGGTCCGTATGACCATACCGACCGGAAGTTTGCCACTGCTGAGGAGGCACATGCCGCCGCAGTTACCCGATACAATACATTCACCAACAATGGCGCAAATACAGAAAAGCTCGCTTCCTGTAGTGACGATTTTACCCTCTTTTTGTGGGACCCATCTGTTGGCAAAAAGCCAATATTGCGGATGACGGGGCATCAGCAGCCCGTAACGCATCTAAGCTTCTCGCCAGATGGACGCGTGCTGGCATCCGCTAGCTTTGACAAGAGCGTAAAGTTGTGGGATGGAGAAAAGGGAACGTTAGTATCTTCGTCATGTGCCTACTTACTCGACGGGCTGCGACTGATTTATTTTTGCAGTTTTAAGTCAACGTTGCGTGGACATGTTGGAGCGGTCTTTCAAGTATGCTGGTCATCGGATTCGCGACAAGTCCTTTCAGGCTCCAAGGACAGTACATTGAAAACGTGGGATGTCAAGACTGCTAAGCAGAAGGTTGAACTGCCCGGACATGCCGACGAGGTGTATGCAGTTGATTGGAGTCCGGCGGGTGACAAAGTAGCAAGTGGAGGCAAGGATCGGATCCTTAAGATGTAAGTGTTCTTCAAGTGTTTAGGCGTATTGATCTTTGCCCCTCATACCGCGTTCGAACAGATGGAGACATTGAACATTGATGCATTAATTTAATATTTATTTGGTAGTCCTGTAGATATGTAGCAAGGCATAAGCTGTTAATAGTTCGATTGATTTGATGAAATTCTTGGGTTGCGGAAAACTTCTTAGGAAAACTTTTTAGCAACGTCAGTGTGAGTCACGGTAGAATCGCAAAAGTGTTCCAAAAATCGCCGGAGATCTGCTCACCCCACAGTGGAAAAAAGTCA